TACTGTAGTTTATTTCATGGTACCATTATCCTACTCTAGTTTAGTTTCAAGCAGCACGGTGGCGCAGTTGGTAGAGCTGCTGCCTCTTAGCGAGCTGGTCGCTCCAGTACAAATCCCGACCAATGGACCTTTCTGGGTGGAGTTTGTATGTTCTCTCAGTGCACGCGGGGGCCGCTGACCATGAAATGCAGTTGTTGTTTTTTTTCCGGATACTCCAGTTTCCTCCCACAGACCAAAACCATGCATGTTAGGCTGATAGGGACAATTTAGAGTTACCAAGGCGCGAGTGAGAGAGTGAATGGTTGTCTCTATGTGTCCCTGTGATGGATTGGAGACATGTCCAGGGTGTCCCCTGCCTCTCGCACAGCGACTGCTGGACATGGGCACCAGTGACCCCCCACGACCCAAATAGGAAGACGCAAGTAAAGATAATGGACGAATGGTTTAATTTTATTGTACTAATGTTGTAGTATAGTTTTATTTATGGTACTAATGCCTTAGTTTTATAGTATTTTTTTACTGTAAAACGAAAAAAATCTAGCCTATACTGTTAATTTTATGACCATTTGTTCAAAATGCAGCAGTTTTAGTTTAATTTCAACTATTTGCTTGATAAATGTCACAAAGTGACAAGGACTTTTTTAATATATTCGCTGTTAAGTTGAGGTAAGGTCTATTATAAACTGTAAGTTTCAAGTGATTTCACAACTTGTGCGGGAAACGGTGGATTAGAGTAAATACATTTCCTTGTCCGTCTTCAATCAGGGCTGGAGACAATGAGCTTTGAATGGAAAACACTTTAAAACCTTGCACGTGCTCAGAAAAGTCTTTGACAGGAGAGAGCAGGGGGTCAAGAAATCACGTGGGAAAAAAAGATAATGTTTAAAGAGCGGCCAAAGTCCCCCCACCACCACAGTGAGCAGGGGGCTTCTGGTGGTCCTGGGGGGTTACCTGGGTCATCATGCGGTCTGCACCTGTGTTCTCCTCATCCTTGAAGATGATGTCCGGGTTGTAGTTGGGGATGAGCTCCTTGAAGCGCTCGGAGCTCCGGGTGATCTTGCCCTCGTACCTCCCGCTGGCCCCCAGGGTCTTCTCCGCCACGTTGGGGCTGAACTGCTTGTAGGCGAGCGGCACCAGCTTCCGCGGCGCGCGCCTCCTGCCGTGGCCCTTCCCGGGGCCGCAGCCCTCACTGGCCGGCGGCAGGAGGAGCAGGAGGAGGGCGCACCCGGCAAGGCACGCCACGAGTGAAGGGAGCAGCATTCCGCCCCGGTGCTCCTCTGCGCGTGGCCCCCCCACACCTCACGTGGGTGTCCAATCTCAGACTGCAGGAAGTGAAGCCGGACTTATCGGAGAGGCCCCGCGAGGCACCATCCCGGCGCGTAAAGGTGTCCGCGCCGCCCTGAGAAATGAACCTCCTGCGCACGCGACGCGCTCCTCTCCCGAGCGCACGCGGAGGCAGGGGCATAAATAGGTGAGGGGGTGTTGATCTTGGCACGCACGATCAAAGCTGCGAGAGAGGCGCGCGCGCTGCGGAGGACGTGTCCCGCAGCGGTTTCTCGCGCTCTCTGTGGAGGAACTGCTGCGGGACGGAGGATGATGAAGAGGAGGACCGCGCCCTGCTGGACCTGCCCTCCACTCCGTCCTCTCCTCCCATCCGACTGGCACGGCCGCGCGCGCGCGCAGCTTCTTCACAGTCAGTGCGCTCCCGCTGTCCTTTTGGACCCGCGGCCTCGCGTCGAGACGCGTGACTGGAGCGCAGGTGCGCACGTAAGAACTTTCAGGCCCCGGGCCCCAAAAAGTGCTGCTGCTGACCAGCACGAGTCTAATTTAAGGGCCCCCCTTGAAGTGCACCTTAAAAACAGCAGTTTGTAAAAAAAAAAGAGCTTTAAATGTAAAAACAGCTGGATCTTTCACTCCTGCTGTTTTTTTTATTTTTTTTGGAGGATGGACACTAATTTTTTTGTTTGTAAACAAAACATTTTATGAACCAGATGATACATTTTAAGGAAACTCTTAAAAATTAAGACATCAGATGTGCATCTAACAGTTGGGAGTGAATTTAATTTGTGATGCCATATCACAAAAACATTTAGTTTTAAAGATAATATTAAAATTTTGTGTGGTAGTAGCAGAGAGTCTGTAGTACTTTATTCAAGCAAATGACAAGTATACAACAAACAAATGGAGTATACAGAAGAAGAACACTTACAAACAACCAGTGACGTTAATTAGACAAATATTTGCAAAGATTTACAGATAAAAACTGTCTTGAGGGCCTTTTTGTTGGTAGAGTCTGTTATTGATTTTACATATAGTTCCAAATCCTTAATAAAATGAAGAAAACATGGCGTTTTGTTAATAAATCTACATTTATGAATGTAAAATTTGGCCAAAAAAATTAGCAAGTTCATTATATAAAAAATTTTTTTTTAGCATCCTTTCTGGGGAATCTAGACAAACAAAACGTAACGACAAATCCTTTAAAATATGGTTATTAATAAACCTGCGTGTAAAAGGGCAGCGCCAAAATGTTCTAGCACATTCTCCGAGTCACATCTCACGACATCACTTGGGACTGGGCATAATGGTATTTTGACGTTTGACCAAAATGACTACAACTCCACGAGTTCTCACGAGGCAAACTTTGTCTGAAACTATGAAAAGAGACGGGCGACATGCACGCCTTCATTCATTCAACGCTTGGCTGTCAGTGTTCAGGCCTCATCTTGTTAGCTAGCTTGTAAAATTCGAAAGTTTATCCGGAGAGCAGCTTAAGAGGCAGAGAAAAGTCATTTTCTACAAAATACAGCAAATGCTGAGAGTTAAATGACTCCGATATTTACTGAAGAAGCTGAAACTGTTAGCGACACCAATAAAAGTAGAACACTAGCTAAAAGAAGCTAAATGCTAGTTAAGCTTATATATATAGCTATATATAAAACTACTTGGAAGCTGCAACAGTACTAAAAGGCCAACTATAAGTGCCAAAATTCCAGAGCATCAAAAACTCAGTTGGAAGCCAGAAGCATCAAAAAGTTAGCTAGAAGCTGAAAATATTAAAAAGCTAGGTAGAAGCTGAAAGTATTAAAAGACTAGTTAAAAGCTAAAAGTATCAAAGGGCTTACTAGAAGCTAAAACTAAAGGCTAGCTAGAAGGTAAAAGTATCAAGAGATAGACGCTAAAAGCATTAAATGGCTAGCTAGACGATAAATGTATCAAAAGGCTAGCTAGAAGCTAAATGTATCAAAAGCCTAGCTAGAAGCTAAATGTATCAAAAGGCTAGCTAGAAGCTATTTGTAAAGATTAGATAAAAGCTAAAATATCGAAAGCCTAGCAAGGAGAATAAAGCATCAAATGACTAGGTAAAAGCCAAATGTCTATAAAGGCTAGCTAAACACCATAAGTAAACACTAGCTAAATGCTAAAAGTATCAAAAGGCTAGCTAGGAGCTTAAAGTATCAAAAGACACGAAAAAAATAAGTATAAAAAAGACTAGCTAAATACAATAAGTATCAAAACACTAGCTAAAAGCTAAATGTATCAAAAGGATAGCTAAAAGCTAACAAAAGGCTGGTTAACAATTTTAAAAAGCTAGCTAAAAGTACATAAAGCTAGCTCAAAAGTTAGCTAAAAGTAGTAAAAGACAGGCTAAAAGTTGTATGACAGTAGGTTTAAAAAAAAAATTAAAGTAGCCGAATGGTAGCTAAAAACAGCAAAATAAGAGTGAACAGCTGAAAGTATCATAAGAGAACAAAAATAAAACCAGATTCTTGAAGCAGATTTTAAAGAGAACCATGTTTTAGGAGGAGTCAGGTCATCTGGGCAGTTTATTTTGTTGTTGAGAACTTTCAGCCTTCATCCAAAGGACTTCATCAGTCCGAGGAGCCACAACAAGCTCAGTCCCACAAGCAGCACACTCACACAGTGGGTCAAACAGTTTGCTGATGATGAGATGGTTTCTGGGGCCCGCCCTCTCCCCCGTCAACTCCTCTGAGGCACCCATAGCCAAAGTGGTTCAAAACATCAAAGTCCATGCTCAATAATCCAGCTGCTTATGGGGCTGAGTTTCTTGTGGCTCCTCAGACTGATGAAGTCCTTTGGATGAAGGATGAAATGTCTCAACAAAAAAAAGAAATCATCACGATGACCTGTCTGAACATTGCTGGATTTTCTACCTGGATTATTGAGCATGAACTTTGATGCTTTAGGGGGAACTGAAGACACCTCAGTATAAAACATTTTTATAATACGATTAGCTAAAACAGCCCAAACTTTACAGAAGGTAAAACAGACGAAATAAAAAAGATAAAACACTAGTGCCGAGTCAGCGTTCAGAAAATAAATCAAGAAAACATTTACACAGATTATTTAAAACAACCGGAGTTTATTTCAGCGTGTCTTGGAGCAGCATCCCAGAGACGCTGCACCACCGCGCAACATCTCAGATCAGCTCATCTGCTCCGTCCGTCTGAGGCTGGAATAAAAAAAAAACTGTTTTGGTTCATTTTCTCTGTTTCTCTTCTTCAAGGGTCGCCATGGCGATCAAAATCCCATGAAAGATTTGGCAATCGCTTTACATCGGACGCTCCTCCTGACGCAACCCAGAACCCGACAAGACTGCGTCCCTGCCCGCCAAGCTACCGCAGCCCAAATCATGTCATGAGTAAATAATTTAAACGAACTAAACTATTTTTCATCCACGTTTATTTGGTTTAAAACAACACAAAACTTATTGCTTAAAACAATTAAAAACCAGACTATCTGATCAAAGTGAAACCTCTTAAAAGCTCAGATGTTAAAATCGTCTTTGTTGGGTTAAATTCATAAAACGTATTTTTAAAGGAAGACGTCTGAAAGTCAAGATGGACTCCTGGACTGTGCGAGCGCCCTGCAGCTGGACTCATCGGAACAGTCCCACTTTCTTCTTCTTTGGTTTGGAGGACTGTCGCTCTGCGCGTTTGTGCTGCAGGACGGAAACAAGAGAGGAAAAAAACAAATAAAAGGAGGATTCCAACAGTCGCACTGTGATGACATCACAAACGGTGAACGTGTTTTTTTGTTATCCTACCTGCTGCGTTGTGGGTCTGTTCGCCGTCTTCATGTCGGACGTTTCAACCTCGTCGTTGTCATTCTGTTTCCTGACGACTTCGGCTGCTTCGCTGCTAACAGATTTGACTTCTAAGGAACGCAAACGAGCAAAAAATAAATAAATGCAATCACATTTACGCAAACCGACGTAAAATTTGCTGTAGCTAGAGATGCATCGCAATATCAGTATTGGTATCGAAAAAAAATTATTGATCGGATCTCGATAGAAATGCACAGATCCGATATTAGTATCGATATCAGTACCGATAAAGGGAAAAAATTCATCACTGGGTATCGTAGAGATGCACCGATCCGATATTAGTATCGGTATTCGTACCGACAACGGGGGGAATTTATTGATTGGGCATTGATTGGTAGAGATGCACCGATCCAATATTTGTATCGATATCAGTACAGATAGCAGAAAAATTTCATCATTGGTATCGGTAGAGATGCACCAATCTAATATTAGTATCGGTACCAGTACCGATATTGGGAAACAATTAT